ATATTTATCAAGTATGATAAATCCAACACTCCTTATTTATAGTACTTGTCATGACTAATGACAAATACGGAACTTGCATCATAGAGAGTGGCACAATAATGTATATGGTTACAAACTTCCACTGCTATATTTGTCTTACAGTGTTAAATGTTTGGCTGAACATCTCAAATGTAAATTAGACTTGGAATTTTTCACGATATCATTTGCAATCGGATAGATGGTAGTTAATATTAGCTAACCGATAATGCACAATCGAGAAAGCATAGGAATAACCTTTATATCAAGATGAACGATATTTTTGCTATGAATATAGCTAACTGCTTCACATAGCTGACAAACGATCATTACAACAGCCAGCTCTGTTAGAATATAGTTCTCGTCAACAACTCGATCAAATAGTTCACCTCCAGTAACTCTAAATTCGTAAAAATTAATGCAATTTGTGAGAATGGAGAATGAGGTAAAACGATAAGTAGTAACATGATAAACTTACATTTCCATGATCAATACAACGTCGTTATCAGGTGTAGCGAAAGCATCATAGATCTGCGCTATTCTGGGATGTCTCAACTTCGTCATAATAGCTACCTAAATTGTCTTAAAAATCAACAGATAAGGGAAACATTCAAAAGAGACAATTCACCACCAATCATTATTATGACAAACCTCCCGTTCCACTTTTTCTCGATCCGCATCACGTTTTATTTTGATACGTTTTGCTGCCAGCTCAAGTCCTGTTGCTTTTTCACGGCATCGATATACTTTCCCGAATTTTCCCCTAAACAAATGCTCCCTTTGATAAAATGTGATAAGTTTTACAGTGTTTGCGATATTTTACTTATTGAAAAAGTTTCAAGATATTCACAACAGATATAAAAATGTAAAAATTTCTTCGCCTCTTAAGTTTCCCAAGCATTTCAAATTCTGTTCACGAAAATACAGTTTATTAGTTCAATAGTCCACCACTAAATCTTATGTTAAAATGTATCAAAAAAATATTAACTCTCCAAGTTCATCCATGCAGTCGTAATATTTTGAAAACTTCTCATTAGCTCGTATCCGTACAACATCCTTGATTTCAAATGGAAGTTGTTCATCATCCACTACAACATAATTAGAAGGAACTTGATAAATTTCATAATCACGATTTCCTTCAACTTTATATTATGTGTCTATATTGATCTTCCAAAGTTTAAAGCGAGATGAGTTTGGTACGAGTAGGATTTTTAGCTTGTCAAAAATTACGTAATTAAAAGCAATCAAAAAAATGGATGAAAGATCTTTTTGTAAACTAGCCTCCTTGATAATCCGATTCGTCAACCAGTATACGACCTTCATCACTGCTAATACCAGATGGTAAGGCCGTGAAAATGACCATCGTTGTCAACTATATTCAAAAATGTATGTTATATAACATAATCATCAAAAAGCAATGAAGTGATTAAACGCCAATAAATTTCAGTTTCAAGCAAGCTGCACGAAATTTTCTAGATGTAATATAAAAGTTAACTCACTGTTTGAAATTCGCGTATTGTAATAAATATTTCTGATGGGAATATTTTTTGAAATTCATAAATCAGTGAATGGAATGAAGGAGGAAGCTGTGATTAGTAAAAAATTACTTAATGAAGCATACTTCACATTTCTTATCGTCATACTTATGCATTCTTTTAACGTTGTCTTCTGAAAACACTTTGAAATCTGAAGTAATAAATGAAAACAAAAACGTATATTTAACAACACAGATATTCCCATCTTAGCAATTTCAGAATAAATGCTATAAAATATACAAAAACTGATTCAACCTTTAAATGGCCAGTTTTCTGTGAAACTTCCTAGTATTTACCATTCGCAAGAGCTAGTTAAATTATTTTAGTAATTTAAATTTTTTCTAAAAAATGGTTTGCTACTTCTTACAAAATACGCAAAAGAATAAATTGCAATATTTACATATGGTAGCAACGTGGTATGAACAGAGTGAGAAGATTATGGATTAGAGATATTGGCAAAGTTGACGCTAATAATCAAGTTGACCTGATTGTATTTCAATAGAGGAACCTTATCGAACATATGAAGAAGAATAAAACAACTGTTCATCTTTCTGTGTGTAATAGAATGCAATTCGGATGCAAACGCTTGGAAAAATGTTGAAAAATGTGAAAGAATATAACAGTGGAACGGTCAACAATGCTTATCACATACATAAATTAAATTAAATCATTGCGGAATGGCTTGCAATTTATGACATCATGTGTTATCGATGCCTCGCTGTTGATGCATTATCAGTTAGTAGTTAAATGGAAACTTTTAATCGTGAACTTTGGTCATTAAAAAAGATATGACGAAAATCCTAATATTTTAACTGCAATACTAATTATTCAATCAGTTAATACTTGTTTTATGTTGTACAACCTTATATTTTCGAATACAAAATGGAAAAATTGTACTACTGAAATTAAAAAAAAAAGATTTCAATATCTATGAGGTGCGTTTCCACATCTTATTATAAAGGAACGAATGGGTAATTCTAGATGAAGCAATGAATTCGATTAAAGACAAATGGCAAGTTTGTTTCGCCGCTCTCTTGAGAGCTTCCAGCTTTTGAATTCAGAAATGTTGCTTTTCCAATATTTACCACTGCTTTCCGGTATCAAATTTCGTTGCAATCCAAAAAATTTGAATGCTTCAGCATTGTGATTTGAGAACACTGTATAATCTATTTTCTAAATTTAAAAATGTTGTCAGATCATAACTGAGAGAATATATTTTATTTGGAAGCTTATAAAATTGAAAGAATTGGAAAGACGAATGTGGGAATAGAGCAAAAATTGGCATAATGTTGTGCTCAATCATTTTTAAATCCAAATGAAACATGAAATAATCATTGCTTTATCATTCTGACAAAAAAAGAATTAAATTGATTGGCAATAATTTTAGATTTAGAAATGCGACAAATACAGCGAATGATATGGAATAAAGAAAAACAAAAAACAATGAGGTGATAACGTGATTTTAAACAAATGAGTAAGTTACACAATGTATTAGACAAAATATAAAGCGATAAGTAAGACAAGTAACTGAAGAAGGAGGATGTAGTAATTGTGAATGTGAAAGATGAAAATTAATCTCGAAAGTTGCGGCAACGTAAGTGGAAGAAAGTATGCGAAGAGGCAGAGATGTGATGAATGGTTAACTCGATTAGAGTGTTGGGAGTATATGACGAGAAGTAGGTGTTGTATGATAAGTTGGAGCAGTTGTCCGATGCTAACACACCAACTACTGGAATTTTCAGATACTAACCAACTGTATTCATCTTGCAGTTATCTGCAACATAAAACGCTTGTTGTCGTACCAATCACTACTCTCTCCTCTATTCATGCCACACTCACTTTGAATGTATCACTGCTTAGCATTACTAAATTTCTTTTTATTGTTTTCCAACTTTCAATCTACTGAATATTTCATTCCTTTCCATACGTTTTACTGACCCATTGATTGTTAGATCGAATTGATTGAGCTAACTGGATGTTAATCATGTGCATCGAATCATGTGCAATAATATCATTATTATTCGCTATTAAGTATTGGAATTTTTAGAACGACAAAAATGATCCGTGTTTTATTGTTTATAATAAACGGCACTTCCATCAATATATAATAACACTTTCAATATTTGGCTTGAATTTCAAAATTGACATCGAATTGTAGATTGAATAACATCCACCTGTTTCCCTCATTCAATATAGCAAAAAAAGATCGAAAACCAGAGCAAACATCCAGCATGTGACGCAGATCAAGCAGTTCATCAATCAATACTCTTATATATCTATTGTCAGGGAAAATTCCAAATTAACTGACATCCTCAGTGACCTATTTCTTGATCATTGAAATGATATTGATAGAAATATCACTTGACTATTACAGACATAAAATGGACCAGTTTATTCCGCGACAGTTATTTTGACATTTCCAATGTTTGGATCTGTACTTGTTCATCAGACTTTTTACTCATTTTTTATTCGTTTTTCACATTCTTGTCTCATTTTGTACTTCCAAAACAACGATAGAGGATCTCAAACTAAAATTTAAACCTTCAACAAAATGATTCTTCTAGCGAAACCGTCGTAGATAGCTTCGAGTAAAGAAAGAAATGAATTTGTCCAACATTGATGTGCGTCTTTTTTCCTATGACTGACCACTTTCATTTCAATAGTTGCTCATCTCACGTCAACAGTACTATAATCTTTCGATAGTTCCACATCATCTTCCACATTACATTTTAATAGGAAAAACGTGTTTATTGAAGAAAATATAATTTTAAAAAGACATCAGCAAAGTTTGGATGATTGAAATTCTCTCTCTAATTTATGCTATCGTGATAGATGAGAATATATAACAAAACAGAAACAGTATTTTCCGTGTTAATTTAACAGATGTGAAAAATTAGTAGCTTTAAGATGGTAAAGAGCTGCCAAGAAATCTCAGGGTTTGGTTTATCTTTAAAAATACTAACAAATTATTTCCATTAATTTTCAAACTTTATTTAGTGCTGGCATTGATGTTGCAACTGAGATTATTTCTCGCAGAAGTGCATTCCAGAGTGGCAAGCACCTACACTTCAGTGGTTAATTCCTTAAATGCTTTAGTTGAATGTTCTATTAAAAAGTGACGAGGTAAATATTAGAGATAGGCGGTGAAGGAATAGCGTTTTTCTATCTAAAAGTTATAAGCTTATTTCAAGGATATTTCATGGAAGAAATCATAAATTTTTGACAATTTCGTAAATAAAATTGCTGGTCTTCTTCTGTGCTTCCTTTCCTACTTTCAACACCTCCTCATGCGTCGCCATCACTGACTTCTCGGTATCCAGGTTTGCTCTGCAACAAAAAGATTGCTTCATTTAATATTCTCTTTCCCACAACTCAAAAAAGCCATTTCAAAACCATTATTGTTAACAGCGAGAAAGTTTTTATTTTAGCTATGAGAAGAATGAAATATTTATTGAAATGAAACTTCTTGCTTATGATAATAGATATAAACAAACATGTTAGTAATAAGTGAGCAGCCGAAAACTCTCATTCCCATCTGACATGCGACAACCACTTCATGGCATGTTGACATGCCTGAAAGAAGATAACACTGATTATGAAATGAAATCATTTCCTGCTTCAAAAACTGTCGATTAGATGAAACGAAGAGATAGAAGACATCTACCAATGGCATCTGTTCCTATTATCTTCAACATTCGTATTTCAGCAGGTGATTCGAATTGTGGACCGCCGCTCATTGCATAAACACCTTCATAAATTCGGATTTTTTGTCGTTTAGCTATTTCCATGGCTAATTTTCTAAAAAGAAGAAGAAAAAAGAAACTCTTTTTACATTGGTCACTCTGACTGGGCAATTTTGGAATTTCCATTACGCTCGTTAATGTTTGCATGAAATATGGTACAATGACAGGTATAAACTAGTGAGAATGAAAATAAGAACCTGAGTTTTGGATCGTAAGCTTCATGAAGAGAAACAAAACGTTCACCGAATCTTTGATCATGTTGACCAACAAAAGGTGAAAATCCGGCTAGGCCTGGCAAAAATATATGATCCTTGATTATCATCAAATCACCCACTTTGAAATCAGAGTTCAACCCGCCAGCTGCATTTGATACAAGTAGTGTTTCCACTCCCAGCAAGCGTGATATTCTTACTGGCATCGCACACTACAAATATATTTATGATATATTTAAACTTTATAAAATCCTACTGTACAGCAACTGTACTTCTTACTTATTTTGACAGTTTTTTTTGAAATTTTCCTTTGTTATCATTTTGATCAACGAAAAACTGGTACATTGAATCATATTTCAAGTTGCAATTCTGAATTTATCATTTTAAACAGCAATGAATATATGACTAACCAGCGCCATGTCCATTTCGTGTTCGTACGGATGAAATCTTCCCTGTATACATATAACATATTTTCCGTTCATGTAGCCGAACACTAAATTACCTTTGTGGCCAATAACTGCAATTTTCTAATAATTTTTACTTACAATAACAATACATGGTTTAATGGGTAATTCTTTGCAAATAACTTTAAAAATGTCTGAAATCATGGATAAATGATTGAAATTGTTCCAGTTAAAAATTAATACTTACCATGTGTGGTTGGGAAGCCAGGAATTTTATTGTAAGGTAATATTTCTGCTTGTTCAATACAGTTTGCAATGTTGCTTAAACCTGAACCACATATGATGCCTATCTTTGGTACCTCTTTCAGTTGTACCTGTTCCCGGATCGATTTCGCT